GGGTCCTCACCCCCTTGCCGAGGCCAGACCCTGGCAATGAAGTAACAGTCAAGAAATCAAAGACCTACTGCATTAGGCAAATCTGCTGCACAAGTCCTCTTTAAAGTGTTCAAGAACAAAGATGTCAGTTTAAGAACTAAGGTGCACCTGACTCATGTTACAAGTCAGACTGCTAACCTGGAGATCAACTTATTAGCCGTTAATCGGGAGAAAGATGAGGCTTTCTGCTCCTGTAAAGATTTACAGCCTCAGAAACCCACAGGGTCGCTATGAGTCAGAGCAAATGCCACGGCACATAATCACCACTATATGTGTATGAAAGTTGGACAATAAATAAAGAAGATAGTAAAACAATTGATGCATTTGATTTATGGTATTGGAGAAGAATATTAAAAGTGTCATGGACTGCCAGAAGAACACATAAATCTGTGTTGGGAGAAGTACAGCCAGAATGCTCCTCGGACATGTGATTAGGAAAGGCCCATCCCTAGAGAAAGACATTATGCTTGGTAGAGTGGAGGGTCAGTGAAAAAGAGGAAGACCCTCCAGTGAGATGGATTTGCACAGTGGCAGCAGCAAGGGGCTCAAGTGTAACAGTTGTGAGTCTGGTACAGGACCGGGCAGTGTTTCTGGTTGTGCATAGGGTTCTGTTGTACTTATTGCTGTGAATTTGAACCAACTCAACAGCACCTAACAACCACAACAATAAGAATAACAACAAAGAGTATGATCAGTTTATGCTATTGGAAAATGGTATTTGCTATAAATAAGTTGTTGGTCTTACAAAATTCTATCTTGAAATCTAAAGCACCATTTTTATCATCAAGACCATATTTTTCAAATACCAATCCTTCTTCTTTGTTTCCAACTTTTGTGTTTAAATCAATAGTAATTATCTATCATGATTGTATGTTTGATCAATTTCAGACTGGAAAAGTTGGTTTAATTGTTTGATTTCTTCATCATTGTCTCTAATTATTGGTGCATTAATTTGAATACTAGCTGCACTAACTGGTCTTTATTGTAGGTATTGTTGTTCAGTGCGGTGGTCAAGTAGGTTCCTACTCATAGTGACCCTGTATAGGGTTTCCAAGGAGCAACTGGAGGGTTTGAATCAGTGCCACATCAGGTAGGTAGGCATATAGACATTATTCTATCAATGACAGCATTGTACTTCAAGACTTTATCAGAACTTCAATTCTGAGTACTTGCTTTAAGAAAGGCTGTAGTTTGCAGTGGATCCCTAAATCCATTTTGACTCTTAACAAATTTAGCCTTCTTTCTGATCACTAACCAGCAATGTAAAAAGCTTTGCCTGGGCATGCCCTTAATGGAAATTGCGATACCAGGGCCACATGGTTATGAGTCATCCTGAATTTTTCTTATCCGCAATCCTAATCTCATTACCATTTCCATAGTCCGGCCTGTTACTATTGATTAATGAATCTGCTCTCAGTCTTGATTTTTGACTAATTTCTTTTTTTATCCATCTTTTGTTAGTAACTACTGGTACTACACTGGTATAGAAGCTCTGGTAGCATAGTGGTTATGAATTGGGCTAATAACCTCAGGGTCATCAGTTCAAAACTACTCTCCGTGGGAGAAAGATGAGGCGTTCTGCTCCCGTAAAGATTTACAGCCTCAGAAACCCTATACTAGGTCCCTATGAGTCGGAACCGACTCCATGGCACATAACAACAACAACATTAGTAGCCACATGGCCATTAATCCTTTGGATATCATTATAGCCTTATGCTAATTGTCTCCTTTATTCAAATGGCTTGCCTTTGTTTTATCTTTTTGGAGCCTTAATAAAAGAATCTCTATAAGATATATTTGAATTTGGGGTCTTTTTTCCCTAAAAACAAGATCTTGAAATGTTCTTTTTGATAATGAATGTGATGACATTCCTCTTGAATTTTTCATAGAAAACAATATGATTATCTTCTTCAAAATGGCCAATACCAGTCAGCCCATTTCAGCTCATGAATGCCTAGGCTATCGACCTTTTATTTGTTCCATTTTATTTTTGTTGACTTCCAGGTTTTCTAGATTCATATTTCATACATCTCATATTCCAGCTATTTGTGGATGTTTGCAGCTGTTTCTTCTCATTTTGAGTAGTGCCACACCAGCAAACAAAGGTTCTGAAAGCTTTGCTCCATCCATGTCGTTAAGGTCGACTCTATTTTGAGGGTCAGC